GGCGCGCGCTCGCCGCGCTCGGGGCGCCGCGGCGGCGGCTGCGGGCGCCGCCGGCGCCGCGGTCGGGGTGGAGGTACCCGCCAGAGCCGTTTGTGCTGCGTAAGCGCAAGGGGCTGAAAGGCGGCTGGGTGGCGCCGCTTGCGCTGCCTGGGTTGGAGCGGTCGCTGCCGGCCACGCGACCGGGGCTGGAGCTCCTGCCGGCGCCGCCCGCCGCTGGGGCGCAGGAGCATGTGGACGAGGAGGAGGAAGGAGAGTCGGAGGAGCAGGAGCAGCAGCAGGAGCAGCGCCAGCGGCGGCGGCGGCCGCAATGGGAACGCGGTGGCGGCGGCGTGGGGAGCAGCGGCAGCAGGGATCGTCGCGCAGCTCATGGCGGCGCTGTCGTCCGCGCCAGCGCCGGCCCGAGCTCTAGAGCGCCCGCTCCCGTTCCGGGCGCGCCCTCACAGCGGCGGGCGGCGGGCTTGCTGGGGGATCCCGGGGGACAGGGTGCCACTGCCGCTGGCTTCGCTGGCATGTTTGATTAGCTCGTGCTGTGGAGCTCACGATTTTATTACGCCTTGTCTCATCACAGTGTTTCACCAATTCCTATATGCCGTGTGCTGCTGTTCATTATTGAGAGTGGATTTGCAGCCCCTGCAAGGTAGAAGCTTGAATTCGCACCAACCATGGCTGCAGCTGTCGACAGTGACACCGCAAGTGTTGACAGGCAGACCCGCCTGGGACCCTGTAATCGTCACCCTTGCACACGCACACGCACGCCGCAGCATCGGCATGGCCGCGGCTCCCGCGTCGGGCCCGACGCCGCCCAGCCGCGCACTGTGCCCATTGAGTATTATTGTACCCTCGTGCACCCCTCTCGCCCTCCCCCCGCAACCCCGCGGCAAGACGCACGACGCCGCAGCGGTGCAGGTTGCATCGCCATGCACGTGACGCCGCGCGGCTGCGCGGCTTCGCGGCGAGGCTGGCCTGGCAGGCACGCATCAAAGAGCAGCTAGACCGACGCGTCGACTTCGACCAGGCCGCCGTGGGGCCCCTTCTCAACGGGTGGGTTGTAGGCAGGCGGCCCAGCGCTCAGGTCGTAGCCTTTGATGCCGGTGCCGGTGTGCCTGCGTGCGAGCGTGAGCGGCAAGCAATCGCAGGCCGCATTGGGAATTTCGACTTGGGCTGTGGGTTTTCTTGAGGCTGGCTGCAGGGGCTGCTGAGTTTGATGGTGGCCGGGGCAGGCGACGCGGGCATTGGGCCCGCACACGTGTTGCCCCTGCAGCGCGCGCCACGGTCGCAGGGGCGTCCGCGGTGCGCCTGGCGCCCGCGTGCTGCGGCTCGTCGGCGGCGCCGTGTTTGCCAGCGGCCCGCGGCAAGTGACGCTCGGAGGCGCTCGCTCACATGTGCATCTCGGTCAGGGTCCTGCCGTCATCAGCTGCCACCAGCTCGCGCTTGTGCCTGCAAAACACCCAGCGCCCCGCACCCGCAGCAGGTCTGTGCATGGGACAGGATACGTATCCACAGAGGGCTCTGCTGCATCAACGCATGCATCAATGCACCGTGGGGGAGCGCTGCGGTGCCGCAGCCATCAGGGCCGTAGCCAGCCCGCCTCTTGGCCGGCTGTCACCAGCTGTGAGTGGTGGGGCGGAAAGGTGCTGACGAGGCGCACCAGAAGAGCTGCTGCTTGTCTGCGGGCACTCCAAGGGCGCGCTCCACGCCGGCCTTGATGTCTGCAACGGTTTGTTCATAGCGGACCCTGTGGCCGGCGCACGCGTTTGTTGATTTTGGTGTTGCTCGGCTGCGGAGGCGGAGGCGCTCTAGTTGCGTGTGCAGTGCACCCCGCTAGCTTCTACGCGCTTGCTGTGGGTGTACCGGCAAGCACGCGCACACAGCAGCTGCCACAACTTCGGCGCAGAGGGGCACAAGGTGCGTGGGCGCTCCTTGCCCAGCTGCAGGCGGGGCGCACGGCTCGGCGCGCCCACCGGATGTTGGCGGTGCGGGGCGGCCAGGGTTTGTCAGCGCTGCGGAGGTGCACAAATATCTGATTGCCGTCAACGGCCCCGTGGCCCCCGTAAGCCGCTGCCGCCGGTGGCAATCGTGGGGCGACGAAGTCGGTTGTATGTCATGGGGCGGGCGGAGCAAAGTGCGTGGATGCCTCGGAGTGCTCAAGCAGCAATAGGGCTTCTGGCGCCAGGTGCATGCATCATGCCGCCCGCATGAACAACTGCTGTCAACAATGCACTTGAGTTCGGGCTGGTGCTCTATCTTGGCGCGCTTGGCCAGCACGCTGCTGTGCTCAAACTTGGAGATCGCCAGAGGACACGGGGACTCACCCATTGTTGTTATCACGATATGGATTGTATAATGTAAACTGTTTGCGATTGGCACGAAAGGGGCAAAGTCTGTTTTGGCGCAGTTGTTTCCTCGGTACGCTCGAACCAACGCGAAGGGGTCCTCAGGACGTTCACATCGTCCGTTTGCTGAACTTGAAAAAAAACTGCTTACCTTGTTGGTGCACGATGCACGCTGCCACGCACGTGTGCTGTGTCTCGTAGTGACAACTTAGTTGGAGTCTTGGCACTTCCAACCTCGGTTTGAGGCTCGCTTTCTGTTACAAAGTAAGTGGCTTGACTACAAGTGCCTGGAACAGGGCACCACAGCTGCGGGATCTCAGCTATGCGAAGAACGGAAAGCAGCAGAAACAGCTGTGATTATGGGAATGTGATGTACATTAGGGAATAAACCTTGTGAGCAATCATGATACTTGTGGTGGGCCAAAGGAACACGACTTTCCAACGTTTGCAAAAATATGATTGTGACGAGCGGCAATCAGAAACACCAATGCTGCTGCAGCAAGATTCGCATGTATGTGCGCGCGTGTGTACGCACGCACGAGCGCACACACACGCACGCATACACACGCGGACAAGCACACCCACCTACCCACCCACCCACACACACACACACACTGCAGAAGCAAACCAAACGCTATGTACATACAAACAACGACAGACATGATCGACGTAATAACACTGGCTTCAAACGCACGGCACTACACCAACTTGCACCTTCTGCCTTTTTGCGTTTGGATTCGCCCATACAAAGCAGGGACCCCAGCAAAACCAACGCGCCCCGCTCGTGGCACCGCAGATGGTGCCGCAGGAGGAGCGCGGTGAGCATGTTTTCGCCCAGACGCCGACAATCCTGACCGCTCCGCAACTCCGGACGGTCGTACGAGCGACAAGAGGAGGCCAAAAAACAGGATCTTGATGGCTGCGGTGATGGGGCGTGACCATGCCACAACCATAGACGACGGGAAATGCCCACCAGGAGCAGAGTCAATGGTGCTCAGCTCAGCCCAGAGAGCGCCTTATGTATTGCGGGGCAAAGGGATGCCGATCGACGATCGGCTGCCGCGCTCTCCACCACAGTGCCATGTCCACCGAGGACGTCACAGTGCGAGGGTGGCCGGGCGCAGCCGGCGGCCACGTTCACGACACGTGCAGTGCGTGGTGGCGGCTGGTCGATCATTCTTATTATCATCCGTCGGCGGACGAGCGGACGGTGATGGGAGCGGTGTCAAAATAACGTTGGTCCTGAGAGCTCATGACTTCTAAACTGGCGCCGGGCGCTGGTCGCAGGCCAACACTCAAGGCCCAGTGCAGCGCTGGCGCGGGCCTGTTCCAGAGACACCCCAATCACGCCGCAACTGCAAGCCCGCCCCTACCAACCACCTCGACCGTCCCCGCCACACCCGCCAGCACCCTCAGCAGCGGCGCCGCGACCGCTGCGACCGCGGCCACGTGCCCTGCCGGCGCCACGCCCGCCGCCACCACAAGCGCGTCGGAGCAGAAGCCGTGCGCCGACGCCGCGATGCGCGCCACCAGCAGCGGCTGCGCCACCACGGGCCAGAAAAACGCGTCTGCGACAAGCCCCAGCACGACCAGCACCGCGAGCCGCGCCGCGGCGGGCCGCGGCGCGGCGCCTGCGGCGCGCGCCCAGCGGCGGGCGCGGGACTCTGCGAGCAGCAGGGGGGCCTGCAGCAGGAAGAAGGCCATCCAGCGCCAGCCCCAGCGGCGCATGACGTACCTGCGGGTGCGGCGCATGCATGCGTGTGAGAGGGTGGAGCGCTGCGGTGCGCGTGCAGGGACCGGCTGCGTCTCATGAATGCACACAGGCAGCTGGGGATTCGGGCAGGCGCTGCGTCCGCTGCCCTTATGAGCACAGCGATGCCTCGGCACGGCGTGGCCCGGCCTAGCTCACAGGAGGGCCCAAAACGCTACGACCCTCTCACCAGTGGTAGACCTCGTGCTCGACCCCGCTGGCCAGAAAAGTCGCAAACGTGGCCAGATCGCGCCTCCAGCGCGGCGCCCTCGACGGCTGCAGCGGCGCCCCCAGCGCCCCACCGGCCGCGGCTGGGGCAGGCCCCTTGGTCTGCTGCTGCTGGTGCTGCTGCCGCTGGTGCTTGCCGCCGAGGCGGCTCTTGGCGGCGCCGCCGGCGCCGCCGACGCCACTGCCGCGCGGCGCGAGCTGCAGCGAGGCGGCGGCGCCGGAATACTCCACTTCGGCCCACACAAGGTCTACGCTGCCGCAGCTGCTTGCAGGGGTGATGCTGCCGCTCGGCTCTCCGCCCTCAGGGGCGCGCCCCGTGCCGGCGCCTGCGGCCGGGCCGAGCTCCCAGGGGGCTGCGGAAGGAGCGGGCGGCTGCTGCGGCCTGAGTGACGCCCGGGTGACATCAGCAGGGAGGAAGCTGCCCTCGAGGACTGGGTCGTAAACAAAGTGCCTGCGACCGCACATTGGACGATTCCAGAGAATGTGTGTGTGTGTGTGTGTGTGTTTGTGTGTGTGTGTGTGTGTGTGTGTGTGTTTTTGGGGGGCAGGGGAGGGGAGCCGGCCAGAGCTAATGCCGTGGGGTCTTCAGGGGCGCCCTTCACAATTGGACCCACACAGACCAGCCGCCAACGTCGCATGAATGCGCGAGCGCGCGTCATCTAAACCGAGCCGCTGCACCGCCAGCAGCCCGCCGGCCGCCCTCGGCGCCCGTTCCTGCACGCGCGCCCGCCGCAACCCCCCCAAAAGATCGCTGGGGTCTGCCGCCGTCGGCGCTCACCTGAGGATCTGCGCCTGCGTCACGTTCCACCGCTTTGACCAGAACTCGGCCAGCGACGCGCTAGCCAGCGGCTGGTCAAACTGCGGCGCGAGCCGCAGCCCCGCCCAGCCCGCGGGGCGGCCCGCCAGGCGCATCATCGCGTGCATGGTCTCCCCCATCACCCACAGGCCGCCGAGCCGCGCGCCGGCGGCGGCGGCGGCCGCGCGGCTGTTGAGGGTGTAGCAGCAGAAGGCTGCGACCGCCGCGGCGTCCATGGCGGCGGACCGCATGCAGCGCAGCGGCGGCGCGCGCCTGGGCGGGCGCGCGGCCTCGGCGCGGGCCGCCGCAGGCTGGGGCAGCGCGCGTGCGGCCGCCGCGCGGGCTGCGGCGGCGGCGGAGAGCAGCCCGAGGTTGCCGCTGCTGCGGCCGATGCGGTTTGTAGGTGTGCCGGTGCCGCTGGAAGCGCTGTCGATGCTGGTGCGATCCCTGGCCAGGCCTGCATATATGTAGGTGAAAAGAGGGGCAGAGGGAATTGAAGCCAGGAAACCCATGCGAGGCCTGGTCGGACCGCAGGCTGAGGTGGCACACAGTTGCAGTTGCAGCAGGCGCGGCAGCAGCGGCGGCGTCAACAACAGCAGCAGCGGCGGCGGCGCCGGCAGCAGCTGAAATGGTAGCAACGCAGCTCAGGCAGGTGCCTGAAGCGACCCACTCACCCTCGCCGCCCGCTCGAGTCAGATCAGAGCTGCTGCCGTTGTCGCTAGCTTGGCTCTCAGGCAGTGTGTCTGCACGGCTTCCGCTGCTGCCGACGCGGCCGCTCTCGTCGACCAGGTCGGCAAGTTCATCAGAGGAGCTGCCGGTGCATTGTGGCTGTGGCTGGGCTGGCGGCTCGGCTGGCATGACCGGGGCGAGCAGCAGGATGAGGAATTGCAAGGGCCCCAAATTGGCATCAGCCAGGGGGCCCCTGCCCATGACAAGGGCCGCTGCCTTCCCCGCGTACATGCGCCAGGTGAAGAAGGTCACCTGCGGACGGGGCCGTCAGTTTTGCGGAGGTGGGGTGTCAAGGTGAGAGCCGCAAAACGGGTTGGCCCCAGGGGGGAGGTTGGGATCATCAGCTGCGGTGTAGGCGCCTGTCTGCATGCAGCCGCTGGTTGGCCCCAGAGAGCGTTGCGCTGGCAGCGCCCGGGGGGCCTGCCGCCACGCGGGCTCGCATCCAGATTGCCAGGGCGGTTGACGCTGACTGTGGCACGCTCACCGCGCACAGCGTGACTGGCTCCGAGGTGTCAAACAGGAGCGGCAGAGCGGCGCTGATAGCCAGGGATGGTAACGAATACGCGAGACGTTGCAGCCCAGGCTTGCAACGGCGAGTCACGGCATAAAGCAGCACGGCTGACAGCGTCTGAAGCAGCAGTACCGCGGTCAACCGGCTGCAGAAGGCGTTCCATTCCTCCAAAATCTGTGTCGTTCCGCGGGCGCCCTGCATACTGGCGGCTGAGGCGTCCATCGATCTGCGATACTTTTTTAGGCCGTGCGACACTCGCGGGTGCGTATGTATGCGGCTGCTAGTCCACAGCAAGCAAGTAAAACAGCTGACGCGCGCGCTTGTGGACTGGACTTCCCCCTGATTCGCCGGCAGCGGCGATGAGTAACGAGCTTCGACTGAAAGGTCCAACTGACACTGGGGCCATTGAGACATGACGCGGGCGCTGCACAACAAACACATCACATTAAAGGTATGTATGATTACGTGTTGGTGCATAGAATGATCTTCACGTCCCCCCCCCCCCCCCCCC